TAATTGTAAAAAAAAGTAAAGGAAAGCTACGTTTCTGCATTGACAAAGTGACATAAGCTGAGGTGCCAGGTCATGACCAATAATATTACAAATTCGTCTTTGGATTTGTCAAGAATCTCCAAATATATTTAGATACGCATAACATAGAAGTATTTCATAGACAGTAGGAGCTTTCCCACACTACCCAAAGGTTATGGCAACTTTGGAACATAAATAATGTACATATATAAACATTACATACACCAAATTGAAACAACCGCTTTAGTTTCCTTTCTTTCACCATATGGTCAGTTTTAGACCCACTGGGTGTATGATGAAATTTGTGTGGCCTTGAAAAATATTGCGTCACCCCTTTTTGAACCCATCGCTTGTCTCGATTGTGCTGGATTGTGTTGCATAAAAATTCAATTTTTCGGAAGTGTTTACGAACTTTTGGGACAACCTAATATTTAGATTTCGGCATCACATAAACCATAGATGTTGTTATGCGGCTAAAAAGAAACAGCTAACACACCAGATATGAGGGGGTTGCACGGAATCGCTCGATGGAGGGCATCCCAGACTGAAGACAACGACCACAATTCCCCCGTGAGGGAATCAACAGCCTCTTCTCTGTGACAGCGATTTTTTTAAGCATTTCACCCCAAGTAAAGTGAGAGTGCCACAAGCACGCAAGGGGTTACAGAGAGTTAGAGCAAGAGTAAAGAGGGGTGTTTGAGTAAAGGATATAGAGAAAGACGTGGATCAAGATCATCAGAAGATGTCGATTGACATTATATTCGAATATTTGTAGATTATAGCCATCAGGAAAGCAAGTAGGAGAACGGGAGTTCTACTGTCGGGAAGTGCGAGAGAAGAAGCTGTTGGAGTAGAAGAGGCGGTTAGATATAGTATTTACATTAGTCCGACTATTGTCCTCATCTTTGTCGCCATATTTGTCACAACGTTTCGGCCGTTGTACGCTCCGGCCTTCTTCAGGTGGTTGGAATTTCGAACTGAACCCTTTATTTCGATCACCGGGGTAGACTGTTCTAATTCCACGTGCCATGTTTTAACATAGCTTCCCTGTGGCGTTTCTATAAATATGTCCAGGTTAACTGTTCTTAGTGAAAAGAAGAATAAACAGATTGAGAGGCCATATTGATAAAGAAGGTGAGTTCAATTCCTGGTTAAGGCAGTGGAGAACTTTCAGGGGGAAAATTAGCAGGAGATAACTGATAACTGACATCCATCAAACATGGCACGTGGAATTAGAACAGTCTACCCTGGTGATCGAAATAAAGGGTTCAGTTCGAAATTCCAACCACCTGAAGAAGGCCGGAGCGTACAACGGCCGAAACGTTGTGACAAATATGGCGACAAAGATGAGGACAATAGTCCGACTAATGTAAATACTGTACATAATACCTCATCTCAGAAATATAGACAAACGCGGTTAGATATATCTATTTCGACAATGAAAGGGTGGGACCTAGATGCCAACCCAGTAGCAAGCTTAAATTCATGCATTTGATGTATCCGTGAAAGTATATTGTGAGAGAAATTGCCATGAAAATATTTCTATAAAAAGAGAACAGAGGGAAGCCACAGAACGGTTGGGACAAATTGACTGAAGACAAGATGCCAGATCAGGGTTTATCACATTGCATATACGCCTCTTGATTTTGTCAAGGACCTTGCGATGAACAGTAGGAGCACCAGGCCATGAGTCGGCTGTTGGAAAATATTGCTTGTGGTTTCACACGAAGAGAGATGGACTCCGACAGGTTTATCTGTCTAAATACGCCCGATTATGGGAATGGATATGCTAAGGATTAAGGAATTTAATTTTTTTTGTTTTTTGTTTTTACAAAAATTCCAAATAGAAATCAGCATACTATTTTCAGCTTCCAAGAGGAGCTCTTCAAACGTGGTACACCGGCGGGGGCCTATTGCTAAGGACGGTTCCTTATTTGTTTTCGAAACTCGCAGTGAAAACAGAAAATGATAAGAGAACACATAAAAAAATATGGGATAAAATGGCCCGTAGAAAATGGTGGAGAAATATTCAGCAGAAAACTGATTAGAGGAAGAAAAAATACGGTCGTCGGTAACTGAAGAGTGAGGACACGATTTGATGTCATTGTAGATATAAGTTTGCCAGAGAAAGACGAGCGATGGACAGTCGGATGAGTTGAAGAAGTTAATATTATTCAGATGGGCATCGAGAGAGACAACGAGAGAGGCTACATAGCAAAGGAAAAAAAACAATCAAACAAAAACACAAAAAAAAGCTAAAATGGCCGTAAAAGCGAACAAACCTCCCACTTCAACCCAAGCTCAAAAAACAAAATACGCGGTAGAAATAAAAACAAATACATAAAAAAAAAGAAACAGATCGAGAAATAAATAAGTAACGAAGGAAGAGAATGAATAATAAAAAAGATCTTTAACGAAAAGCAGTTAATTAAGGGCACAATTACTAAAAGGTAAATAAAGGGTAAAAAACAAAAATGATTATAACGTGGAGGAATGGAAACACAAAGGGAAAATAGAAACGAGGAAAGAAGAAGAAAAAGAAAAGAAGAAGAAGAAGGAGAAAATGTATAAATAAACTGAAAAGAAAAAGCTGTGAAGAATAAATGAAAAATGAAAACTGAATGAAGGCAATAAGGAAGGCAATAAAAAAAGGCAAAAGAAAGAATATAAAAAAGAAAACGTATTAAAAAATGAAGGAGTCATAAGAAGAAGGGTGAATAAAGAAGGAAGACGGAAAGAATGGAACGAAACAAGTATAAAATGAAACAAAAATAAAGGAGAAAAAGCGAAATCGAGTGTAGAATAAAAAGTAAGATAAAGAAAGAAGAGGAAAAGAAACAAACCAAAAAAAAAAGAAATAAAAAGAAAAACAGAAACACCAGAAAATCTACCAATCAAAATAAAGAAATGCTGATAAACTATATAAAAATGAAGAAGAAGAAGTAAAAAAGAAGTCCCTTACTCCCAACAAAAGACGTTAAGGGAAACGAAAAAATAAACAAATATATACCAGATCGAGAAATAAACAAGAAAAACGAAACGAAAAAATAAAAAACGCTCTTTAACGAAAGTACTAGCAGATAATTAAGAAAAGAAGTTTTTTAAAAAAGGACAAATATAGGGTAAAAACTAAGGAAAAAATAAAGAAAAACTAAAAGAAAGAAAACAATAAAACAAAGGCAAAAAGAAGAAAAGGACTGAGGAAAAAAAGAAACGAAAAGAAGAAAGTAGATAAAGAAGTAGAAAAGGTTGACAAATAAACGGAGAAAATTGAACGAAGGGAATAAGGAAAGAAATAAAGAAGTGAAAAGGGAGTTTCTAGATAAGCAGAAAACAGACGACAAGGAGAAAAAGTAAAAAAAGATTAAGAAAGAAGAAAGAGAAGGAAAAGTGAGGAAGAGGGGAAACTGTAAGAAGGCAATAAAACAATGAGAAGGAAAATAAAAAGATGAAAAATATGAAAGAAAGAAGAAGAGAAGGAAAAAAGAAAAACTGGCAAGAATGGAAGTAGGAAGAAAATGTAGAAGAAGAAGAAAGAAAGTCCGAAGTCAGAAGAAGAATTGAAAAAATATCTAAGAATGAAAGTACAGAAATAGAAAAAAAAAATAGAGAAGAAGAATTTAAGAACGAAAGAAGAGGAAGAAGAAGAATCGAAAAAAGGAATATCTACCAACGAAGCTAGTGAAATAGAAAGAAAATAGAATGGCGAAAAAAGAATGAAGAAGAATCGAAAAATGAAGAAATATCAACGAAAATAAAGAAAGAAAATAGACGAGAAGAAACAGAATAAGAAGAAAGAAGAATGAATGAATGAAAAATCAGAATAAGAAAAATTGAAAAAAGAAACATCTAGCAAGCAACGTAGAGAAACAGGAAGAAAATAGAAAAAGAAAAGAAAAATCATCCAACAAACGAAATAGCGAAGAAGAAGTCGGAAAAGAAAGGAACAAAAATGCCAGAAGAAGAATTGACAAATATAGAAAAAGATAAAGAGGGAAAATAGAGGAGGAGAAAAAGAAAAAGAAGACAGAAAGAAAGAAAGAAAGAATTAATAAATCAACGAATGAAAAACTTAGAACAACAAGGACTTTAAAAGGAAAATGTAGCAACAAAAGTAGAGAAACAAGAAGAAAATAAAGAGGAAGGAGGAGAAGAAAATAAGAAAGAAGGAAAATAAGAAAGAGAGAGATAAATAAATAAAAAATGAAGGAATGAAAAGAGTAAGAAAAGAGAAAGTATTAAAAAGAAAAAAGAGGAACAAATAAAAGAAAAAAACAGAGAAAGAATTAAAAAGAAAAGAAGACCATGTAAAAGAAATTAAAAGAGAGAGGAGTAAAAGAAGAAGTTACAGAAAATGAGAAAAAAATGAAAAAGAAAAGAAGAATAAATAAAAGAAAAGAGAGAAAGAATTAAAAAAAGAAAAAGAGAATAAGTAAAAGAAAGAAAAAGAAAAAATTAAAGAAGAAAAGAAGAAGAAATAAGAGAAAGAAAGAGAGAAAGAATTAAAAAGAACAGAACAATAAGTAAAAGAAAGAAATACACGAAAAATAAAAAAAGAAAAGAATAAAAATTAAAAACAGGAATAGAGAAAAATTAAAAAGTAAAGAAGAATAATTAAAATAAAAAGAGAGAAAGAATTAAAAAAGAAAAAGAGAATAAGTAAAAGAAAGAGAAAAAATTAAAAAAAGAAAGAAGAATAATTAAAAAAAGAGAGAGAATTAAAAAAGAAAAAGACAATAACTAAAAGAAAGAAAGAGAAAAAATTAAAAAACGAAAAGAAGAATAAGTAAAAGAAAAAAATACACAAAGAATTAAAAAAGGAAAAAAGAAAAATTAAAAAGAATGAGAGAAAAATTAAAAAGTAAAGAATAAGTAAAAGAAAGATAGAGAAAAAATTGAAAATAGAAATGAAGAATAATTAAAATAAAAAGAGAGAAAGAATTATAAAGAAAGAATAATAAGTAAAAGAAAAAGAGAGAGAATTAAAAAAGAAAAAGGGAGTAAGTAAAAAAAGAAAGAGAAAAAATTAAAAAAGAAAAGAAGAATAAATAAAAGAAAGAAAGAAAGAAAGAATTAAAAATAAAATAAGTAAAAGAAAGAGGGATAGAATTAAAAAGGAAAGAACAAGAAGTAAAAGAAAAAGAGAGAGAATTAAAAAAGAAAATAAGAGAGAGAAAAAAATAAAAAAAATAAATAGAAACAAAATTGGGGAACGTGTAAAAAAATGAACAAAGAAAGAAAGGAACAATTGCAACAAAGAAAAACAATGAACAAATAAAGAAATAAATAAAAAAGGAGTCAAAAATTATAAAGAAAAGATAACGAAAAATCGAGAGTAAAACAAATAAAAAATAAAGACAGACGAAAAAGATAAAAAAAAAATATGTAACGTAAAAAGCTACCCTCCTCCTCTTCCTCCTTCTCAAAAAAACAAAAAAAAACAAAAAAAAAACCGAAGATGTGGTGTTTGCAGGAATGAAAAAAAGAAAGCAAAACGACAAGAATGTCTTAACATGGTAAACAGACGCAACGAAGTATTCTGGTAGTTAAAAACTAACAAACGGTAAACAAACCGTGAATCTAAGAATAATGGACATTGAAAATAAAGAACAAGAATAGAATAAATGAAAAAGAAAATAAAGAAAACGAAAAAGTACGACGTAAAACAGGCAATAAAAGAGATCAGTGCTGGAAATGCCCACCAAAATTGATGTTCCGGAATTGTGAAGGCGAAAGAAGGATCGAAATATACCGTGGATAATTTTACCGAAAATAAGGTCATCAAGGGACATATTCGTCCATTGCCGCCAATAAAACAATTCACAACGAAACGAGACACGAGGATAATGAGAATACATCTCAGGTTTGACGACGATGATCCGGATCCTCATCAGGAATCATGACCTTAACGCAAAAATAAAAATTGATCACGATACGCTTTCAAAGTAATTTCTGTCTTCGTTGCCGAGTGGTTAGAACGCTCGCATGCTGACCATAGTCGTTTTGAAGCTATCGGACAGGAGGGGTTGATCCCAGCGTGCGGCACATTTGGAAATTGCCTGAAAAACATACCATGGATTGACCCGAGCCTTGTCAATGAAATTGGGCAGACGGCTGAGTGAAATTGGGTAGAAGGGTACCGGCGTGTCCCCGACCTGCAAATCGCTCATCTTTTTGCTGGTGACCACGCATTCAGTCTTCTTGTAGTTTATGCTTAGTCCCTTTCCTCTCGCTTTCCCTCGCTACCCTCTGTAGGCGTTTCCTTTCCATGTCTCTTATCAGCACTGCGTAATCTGCGTACCTTTTGTAGTTAAGATTGTGGTCGCCAATGAAGAATCCTAGGAGGATTTCCAGTTCTCGCAGAATTGCCTCCCGGTAAAGGTTAAATAAGTCCGGTGAGAAGAGACATCCTTGCCTTACGCCCCTTTCTATTTTTGTATATCTGCTGAGCTCGTTATATATATATATATATATATATATATGCTACCGGTTTTCTGTCAGTAGAGGTTTTTGATTATTCTAATGTCTTTCCCGAATATGTCAAGTTTGCTGAGCAGTTTTAACAGATCTTTGTGGCGTACTTCGTCGAATGCCTTTACGTAGTCTATAAAACACAGGTGCACACTCTTCTGCATTTATATCGCTCTTTCTGATGACATTCTGAGCGTGAATATTGCCTTCCTTGTTCCGGTGTCTTTAACGTACCCGCACTGTTCTTGTCCTATCTCTGGCTTAATTCTGCTGCGCGCTCTCATCACATTCCCGTTGCCATAGCAAGGGCCCCAATAATTTTTTATCAGTCCTAGTATATTACGTGAAAGACTTATGATAATGTGTAACTCGTTTTGACTTCATGGAGTAAATTAATATTTATCTTGATGCGACTACATATGAATACGATGGAAAGTGAAGCCCTGAGATTTTTTTTTTATTTCCTTAGATAATCATTGTATACATATATACTTCCGCGTCCCAACTAAAGATCTGAGGTCAAAAATGGTTTCATGGTATTTACCAGGAATCACTTTAATGAGACTATTGGAACATTTTCCAATCAATCCGAGAGCTTCAGCTAAAAGTGAAATTATTGATGTCTCAATGTGCCATATTTTATAGATTCCCACTTTAAGATACTTGCAATTTGATAGTTTTTTGGGATTTTTTTTTCTTTTTTTTTTTTGGAAGATTTAAAAAAAAAATACATGACAGTCTCCAGGGACCACAATGTCAATAAGAAAGAACATTCTGCTTTTGTGGTTTGCTTTAATGACAAAACCTGGCCGATTAGATTTCATTGTTCTGTCTATGTGTATTGTAAATTCCCATATAATTTTTAGGGGCCCTATTTCTGTAACCGGGTGTGGGTGATGTTCATACAAGTTCCTTTCAATTTCCTTCCCTTAAAAGTTCCATATTTTCCAGTGGAATCATTGGCCCATTCTATCACAACGAATTTTTTATTCAGTTGATGCTAACACCGTGAAACCTGTTACAAAATGTCCAGTTGTTTTTTATTCGGATATTTATCACAGAATCTACATTTAGGGATAACAAAATTTTTCAGTATGTGTCCTTGGTAAGTCCTAGTTAGCAAGCATTATTATTATTAGTAGTAGTAGTAGTAGTATTTATCACCAACAGAACTCAAATTCACAGTATTTTCGGGAGTCCGCTTCAGGTATAGCTTTTCCTAATACGTGAGATCTATTTGCAAGAAGATTTTTTTGTATTTCTTAAAGGATTCTTGTCAGGACAGACATGCTGCCAGGAATCTCTGCAACGAGCCTTTCAGAACCTTTCCAATCAATTCGGAATTAATGATGTCTTCACATGCCACATTTTTGAGATTTCCATTTCAGGATCCTTGTATTTTGATAGGTCTTTGAAGATCTTCAACCATACATTATAATCAACAGGGACAGCCATCTCAATAAGAAAGCACATTCTATTTTTGTGGTCTTTGATCAGATGTCTGGCCGATCAGCTTTGATTGTTATCTGTGTGTGTGTGTGTGTTTATTATAAAATCCCATCAAATTGTTCCAGGTCTTATCTCAAGATTTAGGGGATCTTCATACCAGTTTCTTGCAGTTTCCTTCCCTTAAAAGTTCCATATTTTCCAGTGGAAATATTGGTCCATTCTATCATACCGAATTTTTTATTCAGTTGATGCTAACACCGTGAAACCTTGTACAAAATGTCCAATTGTTTATATATATATATATATATATATATATATATATATATATATATATATATATATGTATACTTATCACAGAATCTGCATTTCAGGTTAACCCAATTTTTCAGTATTTGTGCTTAGTTATTTCAATGCAAGCATTGGTCTTGTGCGACAAGAATCAAACCTTTGGTTTCTGCTTTTAACACTGCACTATGTAGTAATTTCCCAAGCGTAGCTCAGATGTGGCACAAGGCCGAAAGTATGGGGTACCTAGCGAGGATCGAACTCACTACTCAGTCATAATAGTTCTAACGAGACAAACTTGCTAACAATTACACCATCTCGAGGTGCCCTTATCCCTGCACTATGTAACAACTGATGCGTAGGAGGTTTGTCTCCATCTTCTTTGCTAAGGGAAGTGTATTGACAATGAAGAGGTTTATCTTGCCATCGTTTCTGCATTTGGCACATTGTATTTGCTTTTGCTTTCTTTTTTAATTTTTTGTCGTTTCAGTAGTTGTATTAGGGTTTATTTGTCCTTCTTAATCCACTTGAACTGTCTTTTTGAATTTGTTGGCTTCCTTTATTACTGAAAAATGTTTTTTTTTATTTCTTTCATGTTATTTGACACAGATCGTCATCCACTCTTCTATAGTTTCCACGTATCTTTGAAGACCGATTCGTGTGCGTTTGTAAAACAGTTCTAGTTGAACTAATCCTCTCCCTTCTTCAGATCTAGATACATATAGACGATCAACATCACCCTTAGGATGATGCATATGCGGTGACAAGTTAAAAGCTTTCTCGTGTTGGCATCCATTCGCTTAATGTCAACTGTGGCCCAAATAAAGATGTTGAAATTATATAGTACCACAGGGACAGCCAAAGTGTTTATGGCTGATATTCTGTTTTGTGAATTTTACTCAGTATTTAACACCAGACGCACACGCCTGTAATATTCTTTTCTTACTTTCTTCTTCATTTTAGTTTGCTGTATTCCATCTTCATCGCTAAATCGTAGGTATTTATAGGCTTCTTCTTGTCCCAGTCTCTTATACTTTGTGACAAAATTTAGATCTATTGAGTGGGTTTCCGTAATTCTCCATTTTTCGAATATTACTTTTGCACATTTATCTAATCCGAAATTTATAGCGATATCATCACTGAAACATTTTACAGTATTGAGGATACCTTTCAACTTTTGTCATTTTTAGGAAAGACTGTGATATCATCCATGTAGAATAGTTAATTAAACACTTTCTTTTTTACTTTGTATCCATAGTTAATACTGTTTGCTTTCTTCGAAATGGGGATTAAGGGCAGACAGAACAGAAGGGGCGACAGGGAGTCTACTTGAAAGATTTCTAGTCCGATATTCAAGCAATTAGACATGGCAGTAACTTTGATGTGATTTACACATAATGTGGTTTTCCACAGTTTCATGCTATACTTAAAGAAATTTAATATCAGCGACGTGACTTTGTACATTTGTAAAGATTTAACATCCAAGAGTGTTTTATCATTATTATTATTATTATTATTATTATTATTATTATTATTGATGAGCAGTTTGATAAAATCATCTCACATGGCTTTCTCCAGCGTAAATTATGATTTTTGTTAGGAAATTATTATAGGTATTTTTCTATGTCGGTGAACTGTAATCCTAAAGAATTTTTTTTTACATTTCGATACAGAAAAGATTATTATTATTATTGTTGTTGTTGTTGTTGTTTTGCTTTCCTTGTTTTAGTACGTGTTGTATCAAGGAGAGACTTGCAGTGACAAAAAGTGTTTTTGTATCAGAAAATGCAATCAGTGGAGGTGCCAAGCAATCATAGAAAAAATGTAATTGTGGTCACGGTATGGAGTGAAATTATCACAAGTTGTAAGAAATTCCCATGATTATATGTTTGTGTAATTTGTATATATTAGGAAGTTTATCTACGTATGTGCTTGATACCTTTGCCATGATATCAACATAATTTTGTTGTCTTTAAATGCCACATTATTATTATTATTATTATTATTATTATTATTATTTTCTTTGATTTCTGGCGTTTACACATTTCTTTCCGGGTCCCGCCCAGGGACCTAAGGTTAGAAAATGGCATCATGACACTTTCCACTGACAAAAAAAAAAAAAAAAATTACATAGATAAAGCCCTTCGTAAAGTGTGGGCTGTACTTGTCAGAACAATTTTTTGTATCTCTTTGAAGCATGGACTTCCAGGAATCCCTTCAATTAGTCTACTGCAATCTTTTCCAACCAATCCTAGGGCTCCAACTACAACAGGGATTGTTGATATTCCCATATGCCACATTTTCGAGATTTCTATTTCAATGTCCTTGTATTTTGACAGCTTTTTGAATATCTTCAAAGATACATTGCAGTCAGCAGGGACTGCCATATCAATAAGGAGGCACCGTTTTTGTTTGTGGTCTTTAATAACAATATCTGGGCGGTTGGCTATTATTATTATTATTATTATTATTATTATTATTTGTGTTTCCCGCTTTGCATCCTGTAGAGCCGGGTCTAAACTGTGGTCCTTAGGCTCTATAGGAGAATTGTCATTTGATAGCACTTTTCTTACTATATGGGATGTAGATAGTAGTTGTCCAGAAGATCGCCCTACTAGGAATGTCTATGCAAATGTCACAATTTTTATATTCATTTGGCGCAAGTACAGAACATCCTGAGATTAGATTGTCTATGATTTCCTGATATTTGTCACAGAATCTGCATTTTGGATCTACACTATTATGTTCGATATTTACCTGAAAGTTCCTAGTGAAAAGATTCTGGTCTTTCGTTGCAAGTATAAAACCTTCCGTTTCAACCTTTAACCCGGATGCTTGTAACCATCGATGAATGTTAACTTTGTCAACATCGGCTTTATTAGCCTCGTTCTGAATTTGGGTCAGATTTGTTTTTGCCAGCGTTCTTTCATCTGTTAAAGCGCTTTAACCTTGGTTTTCTTTTTCATAATTTTTGCTGCAACAATTGGTTCTTGGGTTCTGTTTTGGTTTTCTACAGAATCTAATCAATGTAAATCTCGTTTGTATTTACAATCTTCTTTCATGTTTAAATAGTTTTATCTTTGTTTTCGTGTTGTTTGACTAATTGTATTATCGAGTGCTTTGTTGTTACCATGTATGTTAGTAAGCCAATAGTTGTTGACGTATCAAAATTCTAACTGAATAAGACCTCTTCCCCCTTCTTTACAAGGTATGTATAGATGGTCTGCATCAGCCTTTGCATGATGCATGTTATGCTTAGAAAGAAGCTTTTTTGTCTTAGAATCCATTCGTCTGATATCATTTAGCATTCAGTTCAAGATGTAGAAACTGTATTGAACCATTGGAATGGCAAAATTATTAATGGCCATGATTCTGTTCTGCGAATTCAATTCAGTTCTTAATATCAGTCGCACTTTTCTATAGTACTCTTTTCGCACTATTTCTTTCATTTTTTTTGGTGAATTCCTTCACTGTCGTTTGTACCGAGGTACTTATAAATTTCTTCTTGTTCTAAATCTTTGCTTGTTACCCCAGTGTCTAAGTTAATAAAGGAGCTTTTTTTGTAGAGATTCTCGTAAATTTGTGACTGAATTCCATTCCAATGTCATCATTGAAACATTTTACTTTTTACTGAAGGACTTTCAGCTTACTGCCATTCCAAGCTTAACAACTTTAAGTCATCCACGTAAAATAGATGGCTTATTTTCTTTTGAGATATCTTATAGCCAATATTCCGTCCTGTTAAATTCACTGGTTAATACTATTAGGGATTTAAAAAATAATAAGAGAGACAAAGAGTCATCTTGAAATATTCCTTTGTTGATGTTTATTTCACCAGACATATAGATTCCATTTATATGATTTATTTGATGTATGTTTTCCACGATTTGTATATATTTAAAAACTTTAAGACCCAAGAATTGCGTTCACTATCAAATGCCTTATCATAATCTATCCGGGTAGTACCGGGTTTTTTCATTGGATTGAAACAGTTTTCTAAGATCATCGTATTAATAAGTAATTGGTCTTTACATCATTGTACATTCATAGTTTTATTATTATTATTATTATTATTATTATTATTATTCAGTTCAGTTCTTAATATAAGTCGTACCATTTTATAGTACTATTTTCGCACTATTTCTTTCATTTTTATGGTGAGTTCCTTCATCCTCATTGACACCGAGGTACTTCTAAGCTTCTTCTTGCTCTAAACCTTTGATTGTTACCCTAGAGTCTAAGCTAACAGAGGAGGTTTGTTATAGTAATCCTATAGTAAGGTGTGCAATAAAGATTCTCCTAAAATTGTGGCTTTAGCAATTTTATCCAAAAGGAATTCCATTCTGTTGTTATCACTGAAACATTTTACTGTTTTTTAGGAGACCTTCCAGATCACTGCCATTCCTAGTCATCTATATAAAATAAATGGCTTATTCTATTATTATTATTATTATTATTATTATTATTATTATTAATAATAATAACTTATTATTTTTACCGACAATAAGATCCATGCTGGCTTTTCTAACGACAAAGGGCATCCAGATAAAAAGCGATCTTCCTCGGGCAATAAAAGGAAAGACATAGAAAGTTAAGGTGAATGTCATTTAAAGAAAGAAAAAAATAACACAAACACACAAACACGCTGTTATATGTACTAAAAAAAATAAGTAAAAAAGAAGAAAAAAAAACGAAAACAAAAAGAGAAGAAGTTGATTGCCGGTCAAAAGAACCAATAAGGAGGGTTAAATAGAAATTTGAGCCGGATTCTTCGATACTAATCATGCGTAAAGTGATTGACTTTGCAAAGAATAAACAAACTAAAAAAAAAAAAGATGGCGCAAAAAAGGAGCAATCCGCGGAAAAAACATCAGAAGCAAATAATAATAATAATAATAATAATAATAAACAAAGCAAGAAAACAAAAAAGCAACCAGGACAAATAAATAAATAGACAAATAAACAGTTGAAAAAAAAGATAATGGCGAAAAAAACCAAGGAGATAATAGGAAAGGAACGGAATGCTGGCAAAGAAATGGGTGGTGAACATGGTGGTCATTCGAGGCCAGTGTCACCCAGGATTCTTCGAGTAGTCTTGCTTTATTTCTTGTTTTGTTTTGTTTTGTTTTTGTATTAGTTTTTTTTAATACAACTCTTAAAAATCATTCTTTGCTTGGTTTATTTTCTCTTCACTTAATCTATCTATCTATCTATCTATCTATCTATCTATCTATCTATCTATCTATCTATCTATCTCTTGCGTTTTGGTCATATCTATCTACCTATCTATCTATCTATTTATCTATCTATCTTTCTCTTGCGTTTTGGTCATATCTATCTATCTATCTATCTATCTATCTATCTATCTATCTATCTATCTATCTCTTGCGTTTTGGTCATATCTATCTATCTATCTATCTATCTATCTATCTATCTATCTATCTATCTATCTATCTATCTATCTATCACAGTCGGTTTATTATCTATCTATCTATCTATCTATCTATCACAGTTGGTCTATCTATCTATCTATCTATCTATCTATCTATCTATCTATCTATCTATCACAGCCGGTTCATTATTTATCTATCTATCTATCTATCTATCTATCTATCTATCTATCTATCTATCTATGATTCTTCGCTTGCATTTCAGAATGTCTTTCTATGTATCACTATCTTTTTATATTTATTATACACACATGATTGTTAATGCAATCCTATCTATCTATCTATCTATCTATCTATCTATCTATCTATCTATCTATCTATCTATCTATCATTATCTCTCTCTATCTATCTATGTCAGTCTGTTCATTATGTATCTAGCTAGCTAGCTAGCACTACATCTATCTATCTATCTATCTATCTATCTATCTATCTATCTATCTATCTATCTATCTCAGTCTCTCCATCATCTACCTGTTCATTTCTATTTATCTATTACTTTCTATCTATTTATCTATTTCAATCTGTTCATTTCTCTCTCTCTCTCTCTATCTCTCTCTCTCTCTATATATATATATATATATAAAATTATCTTTCTCTCTCTCTCTCTCTATCTATATATATATATATATATATATATATATATAGAGAGAGAGAGAGAGAGAGAGATGAACAGATTATCTATCTGCCTATATATCTATTTAAGTCTGTTCATATCTATATCTACAAGGTGATTGAAAAGTAACTCCTATTTTATGTATGATGAACTCTCCAGTTTTATAAAAATTACAATTTACCCACAGAGTCCATCATACATTAAATAAAGAGTTACTTTTTTTTCAATCATTATATATATATATATATATATATATATATATATATATATATATATATATATATATATATATATATATATTAGTATATATGGTCTGGTTTGAATTCTTCTTCTCATCTCTTTCACTCTGTGTCTTTCTTCCCCTGTCTATTCCTCAATTTTAGTATTTATGCTCGTATGGTGATACTTTTCGATCAGTCCCTATCTTCCGCTGTCTATGGATCTATTTGTGACAGTTTATCTCAGTCTGTTCACGTCTGTCATATTATACGAGCTCACTATTTTCTATTCCAATATGTCTCTGACCATCTATGAGAATTTTCATGCCATGCTTTCTCACAGAATGATTTCTTCATCTCTTTTTCCTCCTCAATTCCCTTACTCCTCTTCGACTTGCTCACCATTTTCTTTATTCCATTCGTCTCTTTAATTTTGTTTTATTGCCTTTACCGATTCCATTGTCGATGTCCTTGTCTTCCTTTCTTTTGTTCTCCATGTCTTCTACTTCGATTTATTTTTTTCTCTACCTTTTCTTCCACTCATTATGATACAACCAAACATCTCTAACCAGCCACGGACAGGTTATTACCATTTCCCTTTCCAGGTCCACTACTGACAAACTCCCGAACAAAATTAAATAAACAAACAAAACACCAAGAAAAGTGACAAAATAATTGATCTGTTCAAAGATGAAATTTTGTTTGAAATTCTTCTGGTATTTTCTAACCAATCACCACATTTTCTTCCTTACAGATCTTTTATTTTTTTTACTTTATTCATAAAACCCTGACTTCGATCTTTTCTCTTCACTCTTTATTTCGTGAGCTTTTCATTATTTTTTGTCTCCGTAATTCTTGCTTACATTTTACCAATTTTTATTTTCTTTATACGCTTCCTTTAATTTCGGTTTATTTACACTTTCTTTCTTTCTTTTATTCTTTCTTTCTTTCTTTCTTTCTTTCTTTCTTTCTTTCTTTCTTTCTTTCTTTCTTTCTGTCTTTTATTCCTTCTTTCTTTCTTTCTGTCTTTTATCCCTTTTTTTTCTTTCTTTCTTTCTTTCTGTCTTTTATTCCTTCTTTCTTTCTGTCTGTCTTTTATTCCTTCTTTCTTTCTTTCTGTCTTTTATCCCTTCTTTCTTTCTTTCTTTCTGTCTTTTATTCCTTCTTTCTTTCTTTCTGTCTTTTATCCCTTCTTTTTTCTTTCTTTCTTTCTTTCTTTCTTTCTTTCTTTCTTTCTTTCTGTCTTTTATTCCTTCTTTCTTTCTTTCTTTCTGTCTTTTATCCCTTCTTTTTCTTTCTTTCTTTCTTTCTTTCTTTCTTTCTTTCTGTCTTTTATTCCTTCTTTCTTTCTTTCTGTCTTTTATCACTTCTTTCTTTCTTTCTGTCTTTTATTCCTTCTTTCTTTCTTTCTGTCTTTTATCCCTTCTTTCTTTCTTTCTTTCTTTCTTTCTGTCTTTTATTCCTTCTTTCTTTCTTTCTGTCTTTTATTCCTTCTTTCTTTCTTTCTGTCTTTTATCACTTCTTTCTTTCTTTCTTTCTTTCTTTCTGTCTTTTATTCCTTCTTTCTTTCTGTCTGTCTTTTATTCCTTCTTTCTTTCTTTCTGTCTTTTATTCCTTCTTTCTTTCTTTCTGTCTTTTATCACTTCTTTCTTTCTTTCTTTTTTCTTTCTGTCTTTTATTCCTTCTTCTTTTCTGTCTGTCTTTTATTCCTCTTTTCTTTCTTTTCTTTCTTTTTATTCTTTTTCTTTCTTTTCTTTTTTTCTGTCTTTTATTCCTTCTTTTCTTTCTTTTTCTGTCTTTTATCCCTTCTTTCTTTCTTTCTATCTTTTATTCCTTCTTTCTTTTCTTTTCTGTCTTTTTTATTCCTTCTTTTTTCTTTCTGTCTTTTATCCCTTCTTTCTTTCTTTTCTTTCTTTCTTTTCTTTCTGTCTTTTTATTCCTTCTTTCTTTTCTTTTCTGTCTTTTATCCTTCTTTTTTTTTTCTTTCTTTTCTTTCTTCTTTTTTTTTTATTCCTTCTTTCTTTCTTTCTGTCTTTTTATTCCTTCTTTCTTTCTGTCTGTCTTTTATTCCTTCTTTCTTTCTTTTTTGTCTTTTATTCCTTCTTTCTTTCTTTCTGTGTTTTTTATCCCTTCTTTCTTTCTTTTTTGTCTTTTATTCCTTCTTTCTTTCTTTCTGTCTTTTATTCCTTCTTTCTTTCTTTCTGTCTTTTATCCCTTCTTTTTTTCTTTCTTTCTTTCTTTCTTTCTTTTCTTTCTTTCTTTCTTTCTTTCTTTCTTTCTTTCTGTCTTTTATTCCTTCTTTCTTTCTTTCTGTCTTTTATCCCTTCTTTCCTTCATTCATTCTTTCTTTCTTTCTCTTTATCTTCGTTTATTTGTTTCTTTTGCTTTTTTCTTCCATCCTTTTTTCATTCTCTATTTCTTTCATGTCTTCTTTCTTCCTTTATTTCTTTATCTTTGTTCGTTTGTCTGTTTGTTTCGTTCTTTCTTTCTTCCTTTTGTTCTTACTATCTTTCTTTCTTTCTTTTATTCCTTCTTTCTTTCTTTCTTTCTTTTATTCCATCTTTTTTCTTTTATTCCTTCTTTCTTTCTTTCTTTCTTTTATTCCTTCTTTCTTTATATATTTGTTCCTTTGCTTTTTTCTTCCTTCGTTTTTCGTTCTTTCTTTCTTTTTTTCTATATTTCTTTCCTTCTTTCTTCCTTTCTTTCCTTCTTTTTTATTTCCGTCTTTCTTTTTTTCTTTCTTTCTTTCCCCCTTACTTTCTTTCTCTCCTTCATTCATTCTGTCTTTCTCTTTATCTTTGTTTATTTGTTTCTTTTGCTTTTTTTCTTCCATCCTTTTTTCGTTCTTTATTTCTTTCATTCGTTCTTTTTTTCATGACTTCTTTCTTCCTTTCTTTCTTTATCTTTCTTTCTTTCTTTCTTTCTTTCTTTCTTTCTTTCTTTCTTTATCTTTCATCGTTTGTTTGTTTGTTTCTTTCTTTCTTTTGTTCTTACTATCTTTCTTTATTTCTTTTTCTTTCCTCCTTTCTTTCTGTCTTCTCTTTCGTTATTTTTTATTTTCCTTCTTTCCTTCTTCCCTTCTTTCTTTTGAATTTTTGTCTCCTACTTTAAAATTCTTTACTTTTTATTTATTTATTTATTTATTTTACTTTTCTTTTTCTTCCGTATTTCCTTTCTATTTTTGCTGAAATTATTTTTTTTCTTATTCTTCATTCATCTTAAATAATTTTAACATTTTTTCTTTTCTTCTTCTTCTTCCTGCATTTCTCCGCTTTACGTCTTTTTCCTTCTTCATAGATCCCCCACACACATTTCAGATCTTTGTTCATATTTCATTTAACTATTTTCTCCTCTTTCCATATTTACTTTCCCCTTTTTTACTCTTTCGACATTTTTTAGTCTTCTTTTTTCTTCATTTATTTATCAACTTTAAGACTTTTTCTTCTCATCTTTATAGCCTCTTCTACTTTTCTGATAATCTTCTTCTTTTCCTTCTTCTTCTTCTCCGTCTTCTTCTTCTTCTTCTTCTTCTTCTTCTTCTTCTTCTTCTTCTTCTTCTTCTTCTATTATTTCAACGTTAAAAAGTTTTCGTTTTTTTAATGTTGAAACAAGATGTAGAGATATGTAGTGGATATGTGCATGTACTAATGTACCACTGCTTAATATATACATATATATATATATATATATATAGTAAGGTCAGTAATGAAATGAAAGGAAGTTGCGGTTTGTATAACGTATATCATTTAATTTTATTTATTTATCTATTTTTTTTTTATTTTTTATTTTTTTTGTTTAGGGTGTCATGTGTATGACCTCAAACTACACCTGACTATGGATTCTCAACTAGGGGACAGAATTACCTACAGATGATCCCTGGCTAAGATCTAGCTCCTGTGTGTCCCACTACCAGTTTTAAGGCATGTGTTGTTGTTTTTGTGTGTGTGTGTCTGCATGTTTGTGGCAGCATTGATGTGTGTGTGCGTGCGTGTTACTTATATAGGTGGAGGGCGGGAAAAACGGGAAGGAGGAATATGAACATAGGGATTGAAAAGTAACTCTTTATTTAATGTATGATGGACTCTGTGGGTAAATTGTAATTTTTATAAAACTGGAGAATTCATCATACATAAAATAGGGAGTTACTTTTCAATCACCTTGTAGATATAGATATGAACAGACTTAAATAGATATATAGGCAGATAGATAATCTGTTCATCTCTCTTTCTCTCTCTCTCTCTCTATATATATATATATATATATATATATATATATATATATATATATATATATATATATATATATATATATATATATATATATATATATATATATATATATATATATATATAGAGAGAGAGAGAGAGAGAGAGAGAAATGAACAGATTGAAATAGATAAATAGATAGAAAATGGTGAGCAAGTCGAAGAGGAGTAAGGGAATTGAGGAGGAAAAGAGATGAAGAAATCATTCTGTGAGAAAGCATGGCATGAAAATTTCATAGATGGTCAGAGACATATTGGAATAGAAAATAGTGAGCTCGTATAATATGACAGACGTGAACAGACTGAGATAAACTGTCACAAATAGATCCATAGACAGCGGAAGATAGGGACTGATCGAAAAGTATCACCATACGAGCATAAATACTAAAATTGAGGAATAGACAGGGGAAGAAAGACACAGAGTGAAAGAGATGAGAAGAAGAATTCAAATGACCAGACTAATATATATATATATATATATATATATATATATATATATATGAACATAGTGATTGAAAAGTAACTCTTTATTTAATGTATGATGGACTCTGTGGGTAAATTGTAATTTTTATAAAACTGGAGAATTCATCATACATAAAATAGGGAGTTACTTTTCAATCACCTTGTAGATATAGATATGAACAGACTTTAATCTTCTCCTTTTACTTCGCCGGGTGATTAACATAAATGGAAATAAATGTAAGCGGAAAGTGAAGTTTGAATGCGCGTCTCTCTCTCTCTCTCTCTCTCTCTCTCTCTCTCTCTCTCTCTCTCTGTGTGTGTTTGGTTCGAGGGTGGGGAAATCAAACCCGTATTTACCACTTCAAGCCAAGTACGCCGACATATTCCTGAATCGCCAAGAAGAGTCGTATGGTGTGCACATTGGAAGATGGAAAAAATTGTAGTTTACGAAAGATAAACAAGTCAATATCCGATCAGTTTCGACTGGGTCACCGTGGAGAACGGGTATGATGTTGAAAGACCCGAAACCTCTAATGAACCTCGGCTAGAAACATCACTGATGATGTGTACTAAAGCTTCCAATGGATGTATTTTACGAAAGAGAGATATATATATATATATATATATATATATATATATATATATATATACGTCTACATTCTTTCATGCGTAAAACCTAACAACCTGAAATCACTTTCTATCCCTCTAACATTCCCAAGCATGTTTTAACAAATCAAAATGACTTCCTCTGTTCTGTCTATCATCTGACCTCAAAGGTCAGCTTCAGAAGGTCTGAGCCAAAAGCAAAAAAAAATAATAGTCTGAAACTATAATTTAACAGTCTTACCGAGGATTAGCGTTATTCATGCCACCTGGACTGGTGCTACGGAATCACAAAGGAAGGGATATACCAAATAAAAACATGGACATTACTTGAGGAGTATCTACACTGGAATTACTTGAAACACGAGGGTAAAATAATGATATAATTACAATTTTGACGTTCCATACTAGTACAAAGCAAAGTTTAGGGAGAAAAAACCCACCAATACTGTAAAGAGCGATAACAGCTACTGGACTTGAGAAACCTATTTTCCTGATAAATTGTTTTCATAGAAAGATGTTAAAAATGTAAATCAAAAAGAACTTAGTCAATGAATGCTGAATGTTACCTCATATATATATATATATATATATATATATATATATATATATATATATATATATATAGTGGGCGATGATAAATTGTCGACATTTTACATTTTCATTACCAAGAATGCGCGTTGTTTTTTTTGTTTTTTTTTTTGTTTTTTTTTTTTTGTTTTTTGACGGCTGTACAGCATAGCAGTGTCACTTTGGCCCCATCTGTGCGGAAAAGAGCACCATGATGCAATTCACATCGCCAGAAATTTGAAAAACGTCATGCAGTACTGCTTGGCATTCGCCCCGGAAGGTCCAATACGAACATTTAAGAGTGTTTGGGTGTCAGTCAGGTTGTAGAGGATTCGGAAAGAGTTGGATGAGTGTAATGGTGATTACGAAGGTGTTTGGAGTGATCAATAGTGATGCCAACGTTATGTCTACATTCATCTCCCAAAATGGTCTCAAAATCAACACGGAGACTTACATCAATTGCCTTGAGGAGATAGTGTTTCCCTGGGTTAAGAGAGCGGCTGCTGGAAGACCCAATGTCTAGCATCTTGATTCTGCACCATGCCACAAAGCAGGAGAACCCAATCATGGCTGTCAAACAATTTTTGCAACCACATCGCTCCTTACACTAACTTCCCAGACTGAAACTCCTTTGATTATTATGTGTGAGACGCGGTTTTAGCGAGAGACCAAAAAATCTTTGTAACACTAAAGAGGAACTTAAGGCAAGGATTATAGCACCATTAACTAACTTAAACAGAAGTATTGCAGGATATTCTGAAGTCGTCTGAAGACTGTGGTCGAAGCCAGTAGTGATTTTATTGAATTAATTTACTCTTTATTATTTCAAGCTAATTTTGTTTAATTTTGGTAAATATGTCAGTGTTATTTTTATTCATGCGCGATTTAAACGACAATTTATACATCGCATCCTGTTGAGAAAGTGAAGTCGAAATGCCAGGCCAATATGGATTATATTACGGCTTACATAAAGATACTAAATATTAGTGTTAAGACCTTCAATGCCATACACGGTGAACAATCTTCGTTCTCTTCTTATTGCAGATGTAAATTCTAATCGAATAGCTTCTTCACATAAACTACTACTTTATGGAACCGATTCCAAAAACAAAGAATTTTTCCCCGATCACTCTAATCTTTTCAAGTCAAGGTTAACTGTTTCGTTTGATACATATACTCATAAACTTTAACAGACTTGTCTCTCACAGTGTATCGCTCTACCCCGAGTGGTTTGGGGGCGTTATATATGGTAATCATTGTAAAAATAGATATTGATTAAATGTGTAAACACCAATTTCAAGAAGACAAAAATCATGGTTTTTAGACGAAAAGAACAGGCCAAGATACAAGTTAAAAATTGGAGATACGAAAATCAACAAGTACAACAATTTAAAAATTGGTTCGGTGCATAATTATCGGGCGTTTTTTAAACACTATTTATTATGAAAAAAGAAGCATGACAATTCAACAATAACATTTTTAAATGATTTTTCCGGAGCGTATGATTATCGACACGCCTTTTTATAACCTGAAAATCAAATAATATTTTTATTGAAAAAAAGTAAACAAAACATAAATTTTTATTAATAAATAAAACCTACAAAAACGCCTGATAATTATGCACCAACCCACTATCTAGGAAGTGTTTTGACAGTGTTGGGGAGATTGTGAAACTGAAATCCGATAGCGAATAAGGCCTTCCAAAATCTAAGCAAAGTAAGAAAACAAAGAAGAGTATCGAACTGTTAATATCATTCCTCCTATATGCTAGTGAAATATGGGCAATATCCTCACAGATAAAGAAGAGACCCTAATATGGTTCAACAGAAGGTTGTTGAGAATAACATGGAGTGAAAATATAAGCAACGACGAAGTTTTTGAGTAAAATGGAAATGATATAACGATATATAATTGGTTGTTCACTGACACAAAACGGGCCACAATTTTGACAACCCGTTTTTGAATGTGGTGCGGCCGTAAGTCGCTATGCCACCTGCACATTCAAGCTTACAGCACCTGATATTTCAAAGCGTTTACCTATCTAGATACAGGTAGGACGTTGCTTTACCACCCGCATAACCAAGCTTACAACACCTGGTGTTATTAAGTAGTCACCCATCTACGTATTGATCAGGCTCGACGTTCCTTAACTTCAGTGATTGTATGGGAACCTATGCTTCAACATGATATGGCCATAAAATATACCGCCTGGACATCCAAGCTTACAATACCTGATATCCCCAAGCGGTCACCTATCTAGATACTGATCAGGCTCGACGTTGCTTAACTTCGGCGATTGTATAACAACCTATGTTTCCACCTCATATGTCAGTAATCTATACCACCTTCACATCCAAACTTACAGCACTTGGTATTATTAAGTAGTCACCCATCTAGGTACTGATTAGGATAGCGTTGCTTAACTTCGGCGATTGTATGGGAACCTATGTTTCAACCTGATATGACCATAAACTATACCACCTGCACATTCAAGCTTACAACACCTGATATTGGTAGTCACCCGCCTAGGTTTTGATCAGGCTCGACGTTCCTTAACTTCGGTGATTGTATAGGAACCTATGCTTCAACATGATATGGCCATAAACTATACTACCTGGACATTCAAGCTTACAATACCTGATATTCCCAAGCGGTCACCTATGTAGGTACTGATCAGGCTCGACGTTGCTTAACTTCGGCGATTGTAGGGGAACCTATGTTTCAACCGCATATGTCCGTAATCTATACCACCTGAACATTCAATCTTACAACACCTGGTATTATTAAGTAGTCACCCATCTAGGTTCTGATCAGGCTCGACGTTGCTTAACTTCGGCGATTGCATGGGAACCTATGTTTCAACTTGATATGGCTGTAATGTATACCACCCACGCATCCAATCTTACAGCACAGCACTTGCTATTATTAAGTAGTCACCCAGCTAGGTACCGATCAGAATCGACGTTGCTTAACTTCGGTGATTGTATGGGAACCTATGGTTCAACCTGATATGACCATAAACTATACCACCCGCACATCCAAGCTTATAACATTTTGTCACCCGTCTAGGTACTGACGTTGCTTAACTTCGCTGATCATACGGAAGCCGGTTTTTCAACGTGATGTGGCCGTAAGCCGACAGGAAGTTACGAAATGCCATGATTGCTAAAGTCCTGAAGAAAAAAAAAAATTAACCATCATATGCTCAGTCTTCGAATATTGGGAGAAACCATTTTTGAAATATAATCTAGATTTTACATTTTGATATTTGTAAAATCCGACATTGCTTCTTAATATTTATATCAGCCGAAAGTCTTTTCCTCCGTATTCAATAAAATGTTGTTTTTTTTTCTCCTTTTTATAGTTAACGATATCCTGGTGTGTCGATTCTGCTAGTCGCTTCCTCAAATAATTCTTCACCCGTCTTCCGTTTTCTTTATCTCGTTCTTCTCGCCTTTTTTTTTCTTCTTTTCGTTTTGCTTTTTATCCTTACCAAAACTTCATTCTTACCTCCACTTTACGCCATCCCTCCTTACAAATCTACTTATACAACGACACTTAATTTAGGGACAATATACCTGTGAGGTGCGGTTACATACCGCATACATAGTAGATGAGTATCTATTTATTTATATATCTATATCCGTTTGCGCTTGTTTTCGCCGTTGAGAGAGAAGGTATGTAAAGCATTTAGCAGGGAGAGACGACACGGTTCGTCCGCTGTGCGTCCGATGGCTCCGGGGCATATGACACAGAGAGATGTGCTTGGAAAACAATGTCGATACGCAGATGCCATATTTGTAGGACAGAATGAATTGGCCGCGAGGCATTTCGATATGTACACGGACAAATAACAAACATTGGGGACGAAGATTTGAATCAAGTGGGGGGAGAGAAATAGAAGAGTACAGTGTACATATTTAGGAATTAAAAAAAATGAAGGAAAAGGGGAATATGAAGGAAAAGGGGAATAATAAGAGCAACAGAAGAGAAAAGTAAGAAAAGATGGAAGGAAGACGAAGAGGGGGAGGAAAAAACAAGTACAGAAAAAGAAGGAAGGAGAAGAAGAAGAAGAAGATATGGAAGGATGCTAAGAAAAGATGAACGAAAAACTGTAAAAAAGAGGAAGGTCGAAAAATCTAACCCAAAGAAGATGAAGAGAAAGTAGACGAAATGGAAGGATTATACATGAAGAAAAATTCCATGCTAATTGTAGAGGAAGAAGAAGAAGAAAAAAAGAAAAAGTAAAAACATGGAAAAAGAAAAGTACAGTGTAACCCGGATGTAAGAGAGTTGTCGGGACCGGAGAAGAAGTCTCTTATATCCGGGTTTCTCTTATATCCGGGTTTGGTCTATTTTATATACATTAACAGAGGCTCTAATTTGGGACCAGAGAAAATCTCTCTTATATCCGGGTTTCTCTTATATCCGGGTCTCTTATATTCGGGTTACACTGTAGTAGAAGAAGAAGAAGAAAAAGAATTAAAAGGATTCTAAGTACAGTTAGATAAAAATATGTAATAGAGGGGGAAGGCGGAAAATATAAGCACAAGAAGAAGGAGGAGGAGGAGGCGGAGGAGAAGGGGGTGGTAAATGGAAGGAGTCCAAGAACAGAGGAAGAAAAATCTGTAAAAGAGAGGGAAGGCGAAAATCTAAGCAAATGAAGAAGAAGAAGAAGAAGAAGAAGAAGAAGAAGAAGAAGAAGAAGAAGAAAAAGTAGTAGAAGAAGAAAAGGAAGAAGACATGGAAGGATGCTAAGAAAAGATGAAGGAAACCTGTTAAAAAGAGGGAGGTCAAAAAATGTAAGCAAAAGATGAACAAGAAGAAGGAGGAGGAGGAGGAGAAGGAGGATAAATGGAGAATCTAAGCAAATGAAAAAGAAGAAGACATGGAATGATGCTAAGAAAAGATGAAGGAAAGACTGTAAAAATGAGGGAGGTCGAAAAATCTAAGCAAATGAAGAAAAAGAAGAAGAAGAAGAAGAAGAAGAAGAAAAAGAAGAAGTAGAAGAAGAAGAAGAAATGGAAGGATTATACAAGCATATGAAAGAAAATCCCACGCTAATTCTAGGGGAAGAAGAAAAAAAAGAAGAAAAAGAAGAAGAGAAAGAAAAAAGATGGAAAACGAAAAAAAGAAAAAGAAGAAGGAGGAGAAGAAGAAGAAGAAAAAGGATTTTAATTACAGACGAATAAAAATATGTAATAGAGAGGGAAGGCGGGAAATACAAGCACCTCGAAGAAGAAGAAGAAGAAGAAGAAGACGAAAAAGAAGAAGAAGAAGAAGAGGAGGAGGAGAAGGAGAATAATGGAAGGAGTCCAAGAACAGATGTAGGAAAATTTGTAAAGGAGAGGGATGGCGAAAATCTAAGCAAATGAAGAAGAAGAAGAAGAAGAAGAAGAAGAAGAAGATGAAGAAGAAGAAGAAGAAGAATTAAAGAGGAAAATTAAAGGAATGAGATGGGAAGAAAGATATTCTGAAAAATTAAAAAAAGGAAGAGAAAATAAGGAGATGAATAAAAATATATGAAGGGGGAGGGGAAGACGGAGAAAAAGAAAGAAGTGAAAAAATGGAGTAGAAATAAGAAAACGAATAGGCAAAAGGAAAAATATTTAAAAGAAGAGAAAAAAGAGAAAATCCAAGCAAATGAAAACAATGACGAAAAAGAAGAAGAAGATGATGATAATGATGAAGAAGAAGAAGAAGAAAAGGAGATGAAGAAGAAGCAGAAGAAGAAAAACTAAGAAGAAGAAACGGAGTTAAAATATTCTGAAAAAGTAAAGAAATGAATTGAAAAATGAGATGAATAAAGATTTTTAAGAAGTGGAAGAAAAAGAAAATAAGCAAAAAAATATGGTAGAAATAAGGAAAAGAAGAGACGAAGGAATATATTTAAAAGAAGAAAGGGTAAAAAAACCCAAGCAAATGAAAACAAAGAAGAAGAAGAAAAAATAAGAAGAAGAAGAAAAGAAACAGAAAGGAAGAAGTAAGAAAATATATAAAAAAAAAATGGTCAAAGAAACTAAAGAAAGAGGGAATTAAAAAAACAAAAAACAAAAGGACATGAAGAAACACATTTAACGGAAGAGTAGAAAGCAAAAATTCTAAGAAGAAGAAAAGAAAGAGAGAAGGAAGAATAAATTTAAGAGAGAACGAAAAAAAGATGAGCAAATGAAAAACAATGAAGAAAAAAGAAGAATGAAAAATAATTAAAAGATGAAGGGATGGCCAAAAAAAAAATCTATCTATATATATATATATATATATATATATATATATATATATATATATATATACAGGGTGTCCTTAAAGTTCGTGTGCACTTTAAACTTATAAATGTTTAACGTGCACATGAACTTTACGGACACCCTATATATATATATATATATATATATATATATATATATATATATATATATATATATATAGCTGCGTTGATGTGAGTTTGTGACCCCGCGTTTCACGCCCTTTGCGATCGTCAAAAAATCGGATGTGAAACCCAGGGTCAAAAAAGTCACATCAATATAATTAAATATGTTAGTTCTATCCAATAAGTACTGTGTATATATAATATATTAATAATACATATATAAATTTTGCATATATATATATATATATATATATATATATATATATATATATATATATATATATATATATATATATGTATAAAAACGTAACAAACTTTGGGGCGGCTTCCTTTTAAACCAAAACAAGCACAATAGTCCTGATAAACATTTGTTTGAGTTAAGTTTAAAGAAAGTTTACAGTAGATTGCGCTGTGTTGCCATGTAGACTGAGTTACATCTGTTATTCTTGTACATATGTGGCTAGTCTGTCTTCAACGTTTAATGTGTGTAGTAGTGAGTTAACTGAGAAACACTTCGTTTAACAGTGGCATCGTATTCATGTTGTGAGCAGGCACATGTTATATTTACATACGGCCGCACGAATGGTAATGGACTCGAGGCTGCACGGCTGTATCTGAATGCATTTCCAGCACAAAGATCCGCTCGTACGATTGACCACAAAAAACACCTACTAGATGTCGATGATGATCCAGGTACCAGCAGTAAATGTTTTGTCGCTAATCTCATAGTACCTCACTGAAGGGTACTTCAAGTTCGGTTCCTGCATTATTTGCAAAGTGTGCAGGGTTTTTCACCCTCTAATCGTTCACCACATCAGAACTTTTGCCGATGAAGCAGCTTTTAGAAGAAGTGGAAAAACAATCACAGCACAAACGGAACACACATATTACAAAAGATGCTAGACACTAGCATCATTTTACAATTAATGTATGGGCTGGAATTGTACCGGGTGTAACAGCAAACTTGTACAAACTGTGTAAAAGCGTCCATCGCACAAAATGTTTAATATCTAAAAAAAAAAAAAAATGAAAACATAAAACTCATTGAGTTTCTTTTTTCCGGGTTTACAGATAAGACGTTTTACCATCTTGACGCCGATTTTCGTAAGAATCACTAAAAAAAAAAACCTTTTGAGTTTTTCAGCTAGAAAAGCGAACAGGTTAAAATCGTTTTGCGTCAGCGTCACTGTCTTCTTAAATGAGCAATGGTGAGAGGAAAAAGATCTTTTAGGTCTTCAGTAATGACACCAATATGGCTCCCATCTTCAACGCCGATTCAAGAACCATTAAGAGAACGGTGAATAAGTTTAAAAAAAAAAGGGGGAACCGTAGACAAGATCAGGAGGTCACAACTGGAAGAGGGGTCATCATTTCAACTTAGACCTCAAGAGATCATTTAGAAAAGACGTTTGGCACGTGAGAGAGGAGTTTAAAATAAGACTTGGAAATGAAACCGTACGTGAAAACTGTGAGGAACCTTGCTACTCCAGGAAAGAAAGTTGGAAGGTTAGAGAGGGCGAACATCATCTTGAATAAGTTTAAAAATAATCCTGCAATAACACACCGACACACACACACACACACACATGTCTGTCTATCTATCTATATATATATATATATATATATATATATATATATATATATAAGAACGAATCAAGGTAAACCGCCAGAAAAGCCACACAAGTGATTTGATTAAAGTGGTAAAGGCTTGTACAGAACCATCCACACTTTTCGGAACAATTGATACACTTAGTCGGTGCAAATAAATGTCACAGACGAAGGAGACAATATACATCATACAATATGCAATATGCTTGTCTGAATCATTTTCAAGAAGCGAGAGCAAGATCTAAAAGGTCAGCCAATCTAACAGTGATCTCATCTCACTATCCTCACACTTGCTCCATATGTGGCCTCCTTTGTAAATCACTAGCGGGCCTTAAATGTCACATAAGATTATCGCACAAAATTTCATAACTGAATCAATAAGCTGTCAGATCCTCATACGTCGAAACTGACGGGAGAGTCCATTATATATATATATATATATATATATATATATATATATATATATATACCTGCGGCTCACTTATTAAATAAATAGGTCATGTAAATATATATATATATATATATATATATATATATATATATATATATATATATATCTTGCTTAATAGAAATATGCTTAAAATTATGAAATTAACCCTCCTATACTCTACCTTGTCTAGTTAACTACAACTATCACCCCTCCTGTTAAATTACAAAAATTACACTACCCATCAATTTCTAATCCCATTTTTCCTTTCATTTCGTTGTTGGAAGTGTTACCTGATGATCCGGAGTCCTTCAAAAAGGATTTTGGTGAAATAAATTATTGTAATGGTACCTTAAAGTGGTCTGTTTTTCATTATATATATATATATATATATGGATTTACTCTTGAAATATTATAATTTTGAAATCACCGAGTGCAATGTTGATTTCCTAAAGAAAGTGTAAAATAAACTTGCTCTATTTGTGGCTACTTGAATAAGGGGATCTGAAATGCTGATATGCCCAAATAACATGGTATTCAACTATTTTGGAGATTGTGCATAGTTATGGCGGACGTGAGAGATTTTATAATTCTATGGAGACTTAATTGTTTTCCCTCTCGACCTGTCAATACAAAATATTCCAACAGACTCAGATCTTGAAAGTTAGGAAGCCATAACTTTGGGGTGACGTGATCATTAAAACTCTAAATCTTGGATTCATGAGACGGCGTTGAAACTTGTTGGTAGGTGTACGATATTCTTTTACACAATATCCAAGGCTTCAGATCCCTGTTCAACTCTTATAGTCTGGAGCATTGGCCGTTAAGCCGTGATGGAAAACGTGAGCATGCATGACATTTTTCTCATTCCTCTCGACTCCAAGAACTATCAGAGTTCTCAGAACCTCTGTGAGTATGACCATTGAAATGTCTTTAGGATCAGCACATAACAGTCTGTCATTCGTCTGGTAGACCTGTTTCATCAGAGAAGCAATAAACCATTCCAAGCTCCACATGTTTCACATTGCTCAACAAGCGCTTCGCCCCAATCAGATGGTTATTTTTGGAATTTGTACACATGAACTAGCCTCTCTGAATCGCATATCACTTGTATCGAAGGTCCACATGCGCCATTCTTCCAATACAGTGCCTTGAAACTCTGAGCTTTTAGAAATGGCGGTAATTGATTTTCTGGGGTTCTTATAGATCATTTTCGGCAGTGACCGTATAAATTTGAGTGTTTGATGGCATTAAGTTTGCCTACTGCTGTAGAATCCCTGCCAGCGGCTTCCAGATGTTTGCGAACTTTAAAAAAAAAACGACATGAAATTTCAGGGAAGGAAGCACTCTCTAAATAACTATGATCTGCTGATGAGGCAAGAATTAAGAGGGTATTTTCATTTGCTGAGTTAACTTAATGTTTGCCACCATTTATCTGAAAATAAGTGATGATCAGAACTGAAAAACTAGAGCTTTTTAACAACATTTGCTCAAAGAACTGAACCATACACACACACACACACACACACACACACATATATATATATATATATATATGTGTGTGTGTGTGTGTGTGTGTGTGTGTGTGCAGGTATGTAGAAAAATAGGAAAGAATACGTTAGGTAAATAATCGATGGTTCTTTAGTATTTTTGTGTTTATTTAAAAAAAAAACAGTGCTCCATACAGAAGTAGAGCTTAGATTATGATTATTTTTAAAAAAATATGATTCCTTCGCTACATAAGTGTTCTCATGTTTCAAAAACGAGAGCCGAAACCATCAATACAATTATATTATATATATATAGTTTTATATACACGACTCTCCCGTCTTCGCTACATAAGAGTTCTCATGTTTCAAAAATGAGAGCCGAAACCATCTTCCTCAAGCGAAAATTACCGAATTTTCGCTTGAGGATGAAAAATGACTTGTTACTTTAATTCAATTTAATTTTAATAATTGTATTTTCTAACGCTACAGTAGGTAGCGGCTTGGTGAGAGTAGTCGTGGCTCCAGGGGGCACAGTCCTATGGTAATAGTGAATCTCAGTCGAGTTCCGCCACGGAATATGTGAGCGAGCGGCGCTTTGTCGAGTCTGGTTTGCAATCACTTCGTCACCGAGGCCCACTTGGAATAGTTGGTATGATGTTCACTTGAGAACCCAACTGTCAGGGTTTCAATTCTCGGTAGTGGATGCGCACTGCTGATGAGTCCCAAATATAGGACGAAACCGCCGTCCAGTGCTTTCTGCATTCTGTGGAGGTTTCTATCAGACTCGATGAATTACACACACATATATATATATTTAAAAATATTTTTCCAACGCTACATACTATTTTAAAAAAATAATAACAAAAATACTAAAGAACTTTGGATTATTTACCTAACGAGTTCTTTCCTATTTTCTATATATTTTTACACACACACACACGCACATTATTTATTATAAACAGGGCATTTACTTAAATATTTGTATCTATGAAAAATAACTTATAAACAGAAAATGTATTTAAAAAATTATCGGACATAATTTTATAATATATATATATATATATATTTATATATATATATATATATATATATATATATATATATAGTCAGTTACGTGCCATGTGTGATACACGCTTAGGCGATCATGTATCTTTCTATAAATGAATGACGAGGCAGATTTTTTCCCGCAGTTGGTTGTCATTTTTTTGGCGGTAGACCAGTTGCCATCCAATAGTTTATTCGTAGTTGCTTTGTTTTAATAAATTAATTTCGTGTTGCCTTGAAAAAAATTCCACATTGGATGAAACGTATCGACTAATATTACAGTTTTCCTATTGTTTATATATAGATATATATATATATACACATATATATATATATATATATATATATATATATATATATATATATATATATAAAGATGAACAAATGTAATCTTAAGGCGTGCTATATTTATGGGATAAAGTGATCAATATCAGAGATAGAGAGTGTGTAAATATAAAAGTGAACATTGAAGTCAACACTTAGAGGCGACAGTCTATTTCATGCTAGCAAGAAAAAAATATATATATATGTATATATATAACAATCAGGTCAATTACCTATATCGGACACATTACCAGAGCAGAATCTTCACGTGTTACTTATTAGACCAACGTACAAATATATATATATATATATATATATATATATATATATATATCCATAAACTACAAGAACCCTTAAAAATTATGGTCGAAAATACTAAACTTCTAAGTTAATCAAATTACCGACACATCTCTCTTAAGAGAGGAGCAGTATATAAAACATATCTCCCCTACTATCAACCTCACATTGTTTAACAATGGAAGTGGTGTGCTTTTTTTTTTAATCAAAAGACGATCACTCAATTTCCAGCGTTGCTTAAAACGAGATGTCTCTGAATAAACACTCTTACTAAAAGATATACCAACAACACGAAAGAAGAAACACCTTAAAAATGGCTAAGGAAGTTGCCAAAAGCGCTTGGGACAATTGCCGGTATGGACATTTTTTTGTATACCCTGAAACGGAAAAAATGTAAAAACGCTGAAAAAACTAAATAAAAAAATGAATAAAATTTTCTTTGGCTGTCATATTTAACGAAATATTTTTAAAAGAAAAATTGCTATCCAAATATACATTGATAACAATCAGATATAGACATATGTAGTTTTGCAAGTGTTGGTATCCACCACCCCCGACACCTCTGACCAACACGTGGACGTTATCTAGCGTCAGAAAACCCGTGGGCACATACACTGTTCATCGTGACAAATACAACTAAAAAGAAATAGGCCACTGAAATGCGTGTATGAGTACGCGTGTAAGAGCGCACATTGAGACATACATCTACACGCAACCCTCCACCACGTACACATAGATTGTCATCCCTCTCTCACTCTCTCTCTCTCTCTCTCTGTCTGTCTGTCTGTCTGTCTTCTTATATTGGCAAAACGATGACATAAAAAGATAGGTCGATTGATATCCACACCGTCTATTTTTTACATACTTCAGAAGTACTTGAATGTCCTTCGCTTCGATAAAGTAAGAAGATTGGATAGACACAATCTTGTGAAGAGAAGGTAAATTTGATATATGATCATATTAATTCCAACTCAGGCCAAACTTGGACATGTTCTGTAGACAACAGAAGCAATGTCAGTAAAAAAAAATCAGCTTTGAGGCCTTGCAAAAAATCACAAAGAAAATAAATCAAGGAAAGATAAGAAAAAGGACAACAAAGAAAACGTTACATGTAAAGAAAATAAAAAAGTAAGAAATAATCAAATAAAGGGTAAACGAATGAATAAAGATGTGTTTTTTTTTTGTTGTTTAAAAGGAAAGAAACAATGAAAAAGTGAAACGGGGAAACGAAAACGAAAAAGGATAGAAAAGAAAGAATTAATATGAAGAAAGCAATTCAGAAGAAAAAATGAAAGAACGAAAAAAGAAAGAGAAAGAAAAAAGACATTAAAAGAAAAAGAAAACGAAAAAGCAAAACAAAAAAGAAAGGAAAATGGCAAGAAAAAATAGGGAACGGTAGAAATTGAAAGGAAAAGAAAGAATGAAACAAAGAAACAAAGAAAAAGAAAGAAACAACAAAATTAGGAGGGAAAAGAAATAACTAAAGACATTGAGAAGAAAAAGAAAGAAAGTAAGAAAGAAAAAAGAAAGAAAGAAAGAAAGAAAGAAAAAAATGAAAGAAAACTGATAGACAAAAGGAATAAACTATAGAAATTGGACGGTAAGAAGAAAGAGAGAAAGAATTGAGAGGAAAAAAGTGAAAGACCGAAAGATACTAAAGGTTAAAAAAATAAATAAAGAAAGAAAGAAAGAAAGAATGAAAGAAAGACTGAAACAAATTAAAGGATAAAAAAGAAAGAAAGAAAGAAAGAAAAATTGACAGGAAAAATGAAATAACGATAAAAATTGGTAAGAAAAAAGAAAGAAAAAAGTAAGAAAGAAAGAAATATTGACAGGAAAAATGAAAGACTGAAAAAATTTGAATGCTAAAACGAAAAAAAGAAAGACAAAAAACAGAATTAAGAGGAAACAGGGAAGAACAAAAGAAAATGATAGGTAAAAAAACAAGAAGGAAAAAAGAAAACAATTGATAGAAAATGAATTATAGAATTTGAAAAGTAAGAAGAAAGCAAAAAAGAAAAATATTGAAAGCTGAAAATGAAAGACCCAACGAAATTGAAGAATAAAACGATACAAAGAATGAAAGAAAGATTCAATGAAAATAAAGAAAAATTGACAGGAAATAGCAAAGAATAATAGAAATTAAAAGGTAAAAAAAGAATAAAAAAAATATCTGAAAGATAAAAATAGAAAGAAAAACAAATGAATGGAAATAAACGTGAAACCAAAGCGAAAATCCTTATGTATTTCTAATATGAAGGCAGAATATTAAGCCAATGAGTCAATCGGTTAACGCTAAGAGCATTATGTCTATACTCCAATGAAAAGGGAAAAGATGTCCAGTCCGAATATTTGCATCGATATGGATGCAATATATCTGTAAATATTCACACTTGCCTATAATTACTTCAGATGATCCATAGCGATTACAGAAAAAGGATGGAGAAAAAATCATCTGCTTTAAGATATGAATATTGCTTTAGGGAAATGAAAAGCAATTAATTATGGACAGTTTTTGTTGTGATCGATTAGTTCATTGGCCATCTTGCTAGCCTGGAAAACTGAGTGGAATTCGTCCGAAGCTGTGGAACCCCAATACGAGTGTATCGAGTTCGACCTTCACTAGGTACCACACACATTGACTATTTGTATATAATGTTCTTCTGCTTAGGGAATATTACATCAGGTTCAGGACAAGCTCAACTCGTACGATGTTATTTCTGTATCGACTTCGATCCTCATTGGGCAACACCCATTTGATTTGATAACGGGGAAAAGTTCTAACGAAAAGAAGAAAAAAAGACAAACGGTAACCAGAAAATAAGTAAAGGAAGGCCGAAGAATTTTCCGTTAGAAACAAAGAAATGTTTTTCGACCTTGTGTCACACTTAAGCTACACTAAGTAAATCACTATACATAAATGGCTTCTGCTGGGAAACTTGAAATTAATGAAACAACTTTGCCTTGTGTATACGAATATATATATCTATATATATATATATATATATATATATATATATATATATATATATATATATATATATATATATATATATATATACAGGGTGCAGCTGGTATTTGAGGACAGATTTTATGGATTAGTAAAAAACTTGCCGAACAAATGATTTATATTTGATTACAAACAAGTAAATATTGAAATTAAGCTAACTATTATTTAATTTTATTCAATAAATCCACCACAAGCATCAATAACTGCTTCTAAACGATGTTGAAATCGGCTGCAAGCTCTGATTAATTGGTCCTTATTTATGTCAGACATTATTCGAACTATCGCAGCTTTAAGAGAATCTTTGGTGTTATGAGGCTGTTTATTAACCTCCTTCTCAACAACGCTCCACACATAATAGTCTAGTGGATTGAGATCTCGAGAGTTAGGAGGCCAAATGTTGGGTGTGATGTGGTCGTACAAATGGTCAGCCATCCATTCTTTTGTTCGTAGAGCCTTGTGGGATGGAGCCGAGTCTTGCTGGAATATGTAAGGCCTGCCGTTGCATATGTTGTCAATCCAGGGCTTGACAACTGTTTTTAGAACCTCAATATAAGCAGCAGCCTTTACTCTAAGACCTTGTGGGAAAAGTGTGGTGACATAACATGTCCTTCATTCCTAACAACACACAATACCATAACACTTAAAGGAAATTTTGTGCGCATTACTCTTGGTACCTCAGAAGGATCTGAACAAAGGCGTCTGTCATTTCTTCTGTTAAGTTTTTGACAAAATCACACCAGCTTCTGAAGGATTTTTTTAAGTTTGTTTAAAAACCTTTTAGATCTGTTTAAACGGTTTTCTTTTATCTAATATAGATGTATTTTTATCTAATATCTGTCTAAACTGTGGGCATGTGTGTTCCTTTAAATGCTATGAGATTGAAGTATGCTCATCCACATGTAACCTAAGCCTTTCAGTTAGCATCGACGTAGTAAAACCAACATACGTATTAACATTTTTTATCAGAGATACAACCTCCCAAAAAACATTTGATTTGAAAATTTGATATCCAATATTGGCTTTTTGTAAGATGCTACTTGCCGGTAAATTCTTACGGATGACATGTTTGGTTGTATTAAATTTAGTATTGTATATAATTAATTCTATTTTGCTCCTCGAATCAGTGGGGGATATATTAATGTTCATGAGTCTTTTCTAACTTTTTCCTCTCGCTTATATTACGAACGCATTTGATTACGGTATAGCAATTTGAGTTCGAATTCCAGTCGAATTCGTTACATTCACTTACGTGCTAATACCCCTTGGAAATATATTAATCCTCTTCTTCTCCCTCCAGTTATGGGTAAGTAGCAGGACAGACTGGGCTCTAAAGCCTTGGATGAAGGCTATACGAGAAGGACAACTCTGAATTCGAACCAGGTTGTTTGGGGGACCTCGTAGCACAAAGTCTCTGTATTCAGCCGTTCAAAAAAAAAAAAAAGCCGTTTTATTTATTTAAAAATAATTTATAACATAAATATGTTATAAAATCCCTACAAAAATAGCCATTTTGTTTCAACACCCCCGTCTTATCAAGTGATGATGCTGAGTGCAAAATAAATGGTTTTAAAAGTTTCAAATTAATTAACAATCCTTCGCAAGGGGAAAACGTTGTTACAAAAGCTAGATTGACCAATCAAAATACAAGTATAGGAAAAGTCAAAAAGCTTGACAACGAAGTCATGTTATAATAGCTATTCAGATCTTTAAAATATGGGTAATATTAAAAAAGAATTTATTCTAACCAATATGATAAAATTTAATATTAAAATTAAAAACTACCAATTTCAAAATCCAAATTTAATCGCTATTAAGTTTACAACCATAAAATTACTGAGGAGAAAAGAAGAAATACATATGCTATTCAATTTATTTCTTCATTGAAATTACGTTAGACGCTAATGTTATATCCGGTCCTCTGACAATATATATGTATACATTTTAATCCCAAGTGTGTGAATGGGTCTTAACCTCACGCGTAAAACAACACAAACACAATCAGTTTTTATATATATATATATATATATATATATATATATATATATATATATATATATATAAAGGTGTCGATTGACATTACATTTAAATTTTGAAGATTATAGTTATCAGGAAAGCAAGTAAGAGGAAGAGAGTTGCACTGTCGGGAAGTGCGAGAGAAGAGCTGTTCGAGTTAAAGTGGCGGTTTCATTTAACTGTTTCGATAGTAAAAGTGGTGGGACCGAAATGCCAACCAAGTAGCACGCTTAAATTCATGAAGTCGAGACAACAGTGAAAATATTTCATCAGAACAGATGTCATGAAAATATTTATAGAAAAAACAGAGAGAAGCCACAGGTGAGAAAGTGACTGGAATCGAGATGCCAGGTCAGGACCTATCACATTGCATATCCGTCTTTGGATTTAGTCGAGACTCTCGAGATGAACAGTGGAGGATCCAGACCATATATGGCAACAGTATTCCATGCATGGATGAATGGTAGATTTTTAGATGTGAAGGATGGACTCAGACGAGAAAAAGCATCTGGCGTGACACAGAGTACCAACTTTCTTGCGATAGAAAGTTGTGGTCGCAGAAATTGCCTGACAACCCTGACTGGGTTCTTCTGCTTGTGTGACATGGTACAGAGTCCTTTTGCCATATATAGGTTCTTCCAGCAGCCACCCTCTTGACCCAGCGTAGCCCTACCTCCTCAAGTCACTTGATGAAGGCCTCCTTATTGAAATTTGCAAGTTCTTTGAGTTTTTCGAGCTGCCGTATATTCGTAATCACCATTCGAATTATCCAACTCTTTTCCGAATTCTCTGTACCCCACACATAATAATCAAAATTTAAGGGTGAATGTGGTCGGAGAAATTGTCTGGGTTCTCTTGCTTGTATGTCATGGTGCAGAATCCTGTTACCAGAGATTTCAGTGTCTACACTCTTGGTCCCGGGAAGCCCTGTGGGTACATGTATCGCAGAACAATCTCGTCATCACTAAAAACACCTTCGTAATCACCATTAGACTCATCGAACTCTTTCCGAAACCTCTGCACCCTCGTCAGATTGTCACCCAAACAATTTAAAACGTTCTTATTCGAGCTTCCGACTCGAATGCCAAGCAATAATGTAAGCCGTTTCCAAATTTCTGACGGAGTGAATTGCGTCATGGTGATCGTTTCTCTCCCAGACGGTGACCAACGGGCCCTACTGTACGATGCATGCACGAAATTAAAAATATGAAATGGAGACAATTTACCTATCGTACCCTCTATATAAGTATACATATACGTATATGTGATAGAAATTTTTAGTGGGATTTGAATAATTATATTAAAGTAATTCACCGAGTCTAGAATAATCCTCAACAGAAAGCACTGGACGGCCATTTCGTTCTTTTTTGGGACTCATCAGCAATACACATCCACTACGAAGATTTGTAAATGAGAAGGATGGACTCTGACGAGAAAGAAGCTTCTGTCTCAACGCAAAGGACCCACTTTCCTTGAGGTAAATGAAGTTATTGATTCAATGTAGTTGTTCTATTTCAGTTCAGTGGAAAACGTGAGATCAAGAAGGTGCAATGAATGTTAGTCTCCTTTGTATTCAGTCCAAGTAAGGTAATAATAGAACTAAGACGCAAGGGGTTTCTTGGAGGGAAACAAAATCTGAAGACTTTAGAAATATGTAACAATCTATCTTATTTATAAGTCTCCTATAGGTTTCGAATATGCTGTCACATCTGTACTGCTTTTATTCACAGATTCTTGAAGAAATCCAGAGACGAATCTGCAATATTATCGGCTCTGACTTGGCATCTCGGCTTCAGTCACTTTCCCAGCGTCGTAGCGTATACTTTTTCTGTAAATACTTTCATGGTAATTGTTCTAATGAGATTTGTTCTTTGATACTGCTATTTTATGAATAAAGCACTAAATGAGCGGCATTTTCATTTGATATGGGTAGATGTTATTTTAGTAAGTTCTTTTCTCGTACTTATCGGTTCAGTCAGTTTTCCACCGCAGTAAGGTTGCCTCAGTGTTTTTTTTTTTTTTTTTTTGTTTTTTTTTGATAAATTTTTTCATGGCAATTCTCCGAATGAGCTCTTAGCTATGAACTTGATGGGAATAAGAACTCGGCTCTTTGATTCCGCAACCCCGGCCGTAATTCTTGTCTTTCCTTTGGACAACATCCATAGCATAGAAATGGAACACGGGTTGAATGGTGAACTGTAAATCTCTTTAAAAAAAAAAAAAAATTCTGCCCAGCTCTGCGATTTGGAAACGGTAAAAATTCTTGAGGGTTGGTTCGTTTTATCTTGAGACTGAAGGGCACCAAAAAAATAAAACATACCGTGATAGATAGATAGATAGATAGATAGATAGATAGATAGACAGACATGAAGAGACTGAGATAGATAGATAGATGATAGATAGATAGATAGATAGATAGATAGATAGATAGATAGATAGATAGATAGATCGAAAATGAACAGGCTGAGATAGATAGATAGATACATACATACATACATACATAGATACGAAAAAAAGACAGATAGATCGATACATACACACATACATACGTACAAACATATGTACATACATACATACATACTAAAAGAAGGACAAGATAGATAGATAGATAGATAGATAGATAGATAGATAAAGAAGGACTGTTATAGATAGATAGATAGATAGATAGATAGATAGATAAAGTATTGAGATAGATAGATAGATAGATAGATAGATAGATAGATAAAGAAGGACTGTTATAGATAGATAGATAGATAGATAGATAGATAGATAGATAGATAGATAGATAAAGTATTGAGATAGATAGATAGATAGATAGATAGATAGATACGAAGACTGAGTAGATAAATTAACAGATAGATTAATAGATACATAGACAGATAAGAAAAGAAAGATAGATCGATGCATACATACATACATACTTAAAGGTGGAAAAGATATCTTAAAAGAGATAGCTATATAGATAGATAGAAAGATAGATGGATAAAAAAGACTGTGATAGATAGATAGATAGATAGATAGATAGATACATGCATACATTTATGTATACGTATGTGCACGCATACATGCGAAAAGACAGATGAGATAAAATGACATAGATAAGAAAGTTACATACATACATACATACGAAAAGATAGGCATGATAATTTAACAGATAGATATATAAATAGATAGTAGACGCAGAAGTTGGTATGCATAGATACGTTTAAGATAAATAATTTAAATTAAAAAAGAATAACATCCCACTGAAGTTTCATATTGCCAAAAAGACTGAAGAAATGCCACGTGTAATATTCTTTTCGAAATTTCGAAACCTATTAGATTCCTGCCTGAAATTATCGGTGTCCTTCATAGATTTACGAATGTCTCTCCTGTCAGTTACGCCAAAATATCTGGTCTCATTTTGACCCCTTGACGGCTTCATACTATTAACACTGATGTCAAATTCAGTGTTTGAATGCGTGTTTTGTCTTCTTTTTTATATTTATTTCTTTACAATCCTTTATTCCCCTCTATTATTGAGTTTTTAATGTTTTGCATCTTCTGGTAGATGCTTCTGATTTGTCTTCTTTTTTCTATTCGTAATATACTGGTCTCATTAATCATATGTTCTTTCTAAGGGTAATGGGATTTTTTTTACTGGTTTCAGGAGGTAATAGGGAAATGTAACATTTTTCTGAACGCGCCTAAATGGGTCTTGGTCCGAGAATGTCCCAGCTTACAGTCTCATGTAGAAATGCATTTAAGAAGTAATATGTACCATTACACACACACACACACACACACACATATATATATATATAATTATTTTTTATAAAAAAATTATAACATAAGTATGTTATAAAATCACTACAAAAATAGCCATTTTGTTTCAACACACTCTGTGTCTTATCAAGTGATGATGTTGAAAAGAAAATAAATGGTTTTAAAAGTTTCAGATTAATTAACGATCCTACACTAGGTGGAAACATTGTTACAAAAGCTAGAATAACCAATCAAAAACGAAGTATAGAAAGATTCAAAAGCTTGACAACGAAATCCTGCTATAATAGCTATTCAGATCTTTAAATACGTGTAATATTAAAAATAATTTATACTAACTAATAATTATAAATTTATATGATAAAATTTAATATTAAAATTAAAAACTGGCAATTTTAAAAATCCAAATTTAATCACTATTAAGTTTAAAAACTACAAAATTATTGAGAAAAAAAAAATATATATGTTTATTCAATTCATTTCTTCATTGAAATTACGTTCGACAAGACAAGACGCTACAATACATCCGGTCATTTGACAATACATGTATATTTTTTTTCTTTTTCCCTTTCTTTTCCGTTTTTATTTTAAAGTTTGGGAATATGGTCTTAAACTCACGCGTGGCACAACAAAAACACAATCAGATTATAATACATAAGCACCCAGACATAATTAGATACACACACACACACACACACACACACACAAACATACACACACAAACATACAAAAAAAAAAAAAAAAGAGAGGTGGGGATACATGAACATCTCTACAGCCCTTTATGAAAAAAGGAGACGTGGAAACTAACACTTATACACACACACAGTTAAATGTGAATACACTCTACATACACATAGACACCGATATATACACATACATACATCCACAGACAATGACATAGACAATAGATATATATATATACTCACAAACTAAACAACATTCAGGGACCCCAATGGAAATCTAACACCTCGTCAACTTTCGATCGCCATAGCCGTAAACGATTTGGAACGATGTGTCCGAGAGAGAGACTTTGGTTGGTTTGTATTACTACTCTGTCTCTGTAATGTCTAGAGGCATTGAGCACTTTAGGTGTTTGCGTCGGTTGGTTTCTGAGTGTCCTGAACAAGTTAAAATGTTGAGTCTACTATTTAGGCATGAGTTGTTAGAAATTCTAGTTCCGTGCCTATTTTCTTTAGCTAATCAATTTTTTTGCACACCTGAAAAATAAGCGGCAATCAAACCTCTGGCACCGCCCACGCTACGCCATTTCAGGTGTCAGTCTTTTGTGTTTTCTTTCTTTTATTTTGTTTTATTTTTCGATTTCTTTTTTTTTTTGTTTTAGTTTTTTTTCCCTTTTCAAAGAAAGTTTTTATTTTCCAATATTTTGAGACGAGCATAACCTCGTTACCCAGTTTATATTCTTAAAAGCTTCATATCTCTTCAGTTTCGTATTCGAAACGTAAACAAAGCACTAATGGATTTAATTTTAGGTCAACAATCCTAGGTCTATTGGGAAAGCCCACTAGATCAAACGTCGATTTCCCCTTCAAAGAAGGACATAGGCTTAATCCCTGCCACAGGAAGCATTTTCTTTACAAAAGCGCAGGTCGTTAGACGTAATACACACTGTCCAAAAAATAAAAAAAAATATGGCGACTAGTTCAGATACGAAGCATCCACTACAATAACGTTTAAAGTCATACACACACACAAACACACACACACACACATACGCACACACAGACATATATATATATTTTATGTTATATAATCTTTCCGATTGCGTTTAGTGTCTTTTTTTATCTGTTTCAAACATTGTAATTTAGATTCCCTAAAATTTTTCTTGATATATAAATATGTATATATCGTTTTCTATGAACACACACACACACACACACACACACACACACACACACACACATATAGATATATATATATATATATATATATATATATATATATATATATATATATATATATAAAGCATAATAAATAAATCATATATAATAGGAATTCAAAGATACTCCATAAGAATAGCTATTTCTCCACGCAAAAATTAACCTTGCAAGGTTTGTAAACACCAAGAGGAAGTGGAAAGATGACAAAGGAAGAGAATAAAATTAAAAGAGAAAGAAAGAGAAAAAAGAGAATTGGCTGCTCATATAGAGTATCTTTCTATTTTTTTAAATGTAATTTATATATATATATATATATATTGTTGAAACTTGACTAATGCATGGAATAATAATGCAACACAAAATGTACTTAGAACAAAATGTATTAAAACAAGAAAGTGTACACAATATTTACATACAGTCTTTTGTTTATTCCTGGGAAGACCGTTCCTGGAGAATGTGTTGACTTAGTCGCAGTCGGGCAGAGTCTCTGGATTGAATCTCTTGATTTCTCGCTCTCTTCCCGGTACCAACCATATTTATATGGTCGGTACTCCACTATGCAAATTAGGTGGATCCTACCACACAACATATATATATATATATATATATATATATATATATATATATATATATATATATATTATATAATTTAATAAGTACGATAAACATTTAATAAAAATTAATTATTAACCATATGACAGAAATGAAGCACGGATTTTTAAGTCCGGAATTTTCGGACACGCCTGTGTCCTTCATCAAGGATCTGAGGAATAAACTGGGAAATTGGAATTACTCACTGACATATGTTTTCGTAGATGGCCTATTACTGTATTCTTAGGAAAAACCCGATCTCTGTCTGATTCCCCGATATGCGAAACCTTTTACAAAATTAAACTGAAGTTTAAAATTTTGATCGGCGTAAAAGCGCTAGGCGGGTGTATTATTATTCGTGTGTGTCGTGGTGGGAGTGAGATTGTAAACATAGATGAAGAGACTTATAGGTTGGGGAGTGGGAAAGACGTTTCGGATGTCCTAAGTTGTAGCCAAATTTATCGACCAAGATGTCAAGTGTAGAAAGACGAGCTGTGGCTAGAATATGATGTATTGAAAAAATGAGGAAGAAAAATGGAATACATAATAATAAGATATTATTAAATAAAATGAAATAAAAAAAATGTGAAGGGACAAAAAATGGGTAAAAATTTGTATAAAAATACTTGGATAATTAATAATCTCAATACACGTAAAGATATAAATACATATACAAAATTAATATGTATCTAGAGTAAACTTCCCCACTCCTTACATAAGCTTATATGTAAAGAAGCCATAGTGATAGTGTCATTGATGGTATAAAAAATGGTGATTGGAAAGTAGCCTTCACTGTACATATTCTATTCTCTGAATAAACGCAAATCCCTGTTTACACCCTCTATGTAGGAATCTACATTTAGGATATGTTTCAACTTTTTTAATATCTGTCTATATTTCTGAGATGAGGTATTATGTACATTATTTACATTATTCTTACTATTGTCCTCATCATTGTCGCCATATATATTACAACGTTTCGGCCGTTGTACGCTCCGGCCTTCTTCGGGTGGTTGGAATGTCGAACTGAACCCTTTATTTCGCTCATTGGGGTAGACTGTTCTAGTTTCACGTGCCATGTTTACTGGATGTCACTTATCAGTCATCTCCTGTTAATTTCCCTCTGAAAGTTCTCTACTGCCTTAACCATATATTGAAAGCTGTAATACAACTGGAAGTGGAAAAATTACGCGTGGCTGACCCCATATGGAGAGAGAAGGGAGATCACCACCCTCTGTGGGATCCGGTTGAGATCATAGACAAAGAAAACCTTTGGAAAATTCGTAAACTCAAAGAATCAGCACATATGCTGCAAAATGAAAACAATGAAGAAGAAGAAGAAGAAGAAGAAGAAGAAGAAGATCTGTCTATATTTCTTCCCCACTCCTTACATAAGCTTATATGTAAAGAAGCCATAGTAATAGAATCATTGATGGTATAAAAAATGGTGATTGGAAAGTAGCCTTCACTGTACATATTCTACTCTCTGAATAAACGCAAATCCCTGTTTACACCCTCTATGTAGGAATCTACATTTAGGATATGTTTCAACTTTTTTTAATATCTGTCTATATTTCTGAGATGAGGTATTATGTACATTATTTACATTATTCTTACTATTGTCCTCATCATTGTCGCCATATATATTACAACGTTTCGGCCGTTGTACGCTCCGGCCTTCTTCGGGTGGTTGGAATGTCGAACTGAACCCTTTATTTCGCTCATTGGGGTAGACTGTTCTAGTTTCACGTGCCATGTTTAATGGATGTCAGTTATCAGTTATCTCCT